AATTCCTTTCATTAATGTCACAGAAATAAGGACGCTCCGTTCCTCCTCCTTAAATGCACACATACTTGGTGCACTTCTCCATTGAGTGTTTAGCTTAAGGCTTGTAGGCAAGGTAAACAGCTCAAAAAATCGGCTAGCAAAGGAGGTGTCAGCAAAACGAGGACCGGATACCTGCGGATGGCGGATGCGGATGGAAAAATGAGGATAGAAAAAAATTTGAACAATAACAAAAACAAAAAAACACAAATTTGGATATATAAATTGTGTCACTAAAACGTTTCTTAACAAAACAAAACGTGTATAACGTTGTCCGGACAACAACAACAAAAAAGGACTAAATTTCCTCAAATTAAAAGAAAATTAGAGAAAACAAACTAAACCAAAAAATAGGGTGAGCTACGTGAAAAAATCGGCGTGCTTTGCGTCGCCTATTTCACGCTTGCCTCCGCTAAATCGCCATGTTTCCTCACAAAGGAGCCTGATCTTCAAATGGGCTCATAATACAAATCAACTTTCGCTATGCCTTGACTCTGGTCGACTCTGCCATAGCAGACAGTTGAGAGTGTGATTGTGAACTGCAGACACCCGCAGAAGCCCGTTTTTGAGATCAAAAGCTAAGCTACTGTTACACTAGTTGTCTTCTGTTACACAATTTCCTCTCGGTTTTGTGTGAATCGGTCTTGTTTAATGAGGTTTTTTCTACAGAAATTCATTTTCAAGCAATATGCCGCACCCTCAACGGAGTCATTTTTCTGTCCTTCGTTCCATTTTCACAGTTTTACGAAAAACTTCCATCAACATATAAAAAATGCTGATCTGGTGTAGGCATAGCTAAAAAATTTATATAATCTTCTTAAGAAGCAGCTTGGATTTTTTCTGATTTGTAATAATTAAACATCTTTCCATGTAGAAAAAATATGTTTGATTGCTGCTTCGCAGATAGACGGGAGCGGGCCAAATAATTCGAATATTATATAAATTATTTTCGATTCCGAATTCTGCCCTTCACGCTTTTAAAAACGAGTTTTAAGTTGCTCGATACAGACGTTCTAAAAACTCACTGAGGATATGTTTTCGAAACTATTTTGCTAGCAGAAAAATTCGAAACAAAAACAAATGAAACAGAAAGTAGCCTTCATTAATGCGTTTCCAAGCGACACTTTTTTGCGGGAGTTTAATTTTGCAGATTATTTTTACACCTTGTCGGGAAATAATTTTTGCGATTGATCAAGAAGTCTGTTTTTTTCTTTCAATCTGCATTATACTTGCAATTTTAAAAATTCGAACTCATTATTCGTGCACTTATAAATTCCCAAAGGGTAGAACTGGTAAAAAATAAATCCACATGATAGGCGGATCAGGCGGAGTTGATTGGCATCTGCCAAATCGGAACGTTCGGCCTTTTTTCTGGTTGATACTGCAATTTTTTCTGTCTTGAGCCGCTCAAACAAATAAGTCTTGAATTGATTGCCCCGAGAATATTCTTTCTGTAAGTTGAGTACACTATATCCAGTGAGAGCAAAGAAATCATGCCTCCCCTTCTTAGCGTGATAACAATGAAATTCCTAATAAAGTAAATGTTAAATAAAAAATAGCGATCACTCCCGAAAGTAAAGACAGACTGCTTCGTGAATTACACCGCTTTAGGATGCTGATATGGTAACATTCTGCATTCTGACCCGTGATTGCAGGGACCACTGGCTCGTTATTTGGTAAAGAGAAGAATATTAAACGGGGCCAGTGCTGTTTGTTTATTTTTTTTTT